TTCCTTCCCTGAGGGCGAGTTAGGCGAGAGACAACGAGCACAGTACACTGCATTTCATCAGAGGTCGCTCCAGCCAACTCAATACCCGCACCTTCCATCACTTACGGAGCTCGGACTCCTCGAAGGTGTAACCTGGATGCTTCAACGAGCAGGCATCTGGAACCTCTGCTCCAACCCCCAGCCGACCTACGAACAGCTCACCCTTGAGTTCTTGAGTTTGTTCTCATACATCACCAGCAGCGGCGAACTCAACCAGCACACAGGTGCCGCTTGTTTCCGAATGTTTGGAGTCAACTACCAGGTGAATCAGAATCAGATCGTCAGCATCCTACAGTTACCCCGCGGTGAAAACGCTCATCGCCGTATCACTGATCAGTTCCAGCACGAAGCCTTCGCGCTGTGGTATCAGCTGACCGACCTAAATGCCGATGGTTGGGACTCCCTACACGCCACTCACATCCATAACCCCGCCATCAGGTACTTTCACAGGGCGTTGAGCAACACCATCTTCGCCAGAGACAGCAACCACAAAGTGAACTCCAAGGAGCTCTTCTTTCTGCATTGCGTCTTCAACAATGAACCGGTCAACGCCGCCCCGTTCCTGCTGGCCCACATTTAGGCCAACTGCAACCGTGGCTCGAAGCCATTATACTTTGGCGGGATTGTCACGGCCATTGCACTTGGGCTGAACCTGGGCGACCGCCTCCAGCACCTCCAGTCCATCCCCTCGGTGTTCCTTGACACCGACCACTGCAGGGCCTCCCATCTCATCCGCTCCCGAGCTGACGGGAAATATCATCCGGTTGTGCGTGGCAAGACCGTCAGAAGCATCATCCTTCCGTCCCGCACCCGCATCCATCCTGAGGACCGTACCAACTGGTTGTTCGACCTCACTGCCCCTCCTGCTGCCGCTGTTCCTACTCATGATTCCGACGATGAAATCCAAGCTGAGTTGGACAGGTCCGAGCAGCCAGAGGCATTGCAGCCTCCTCCTCCAGTAGGTACATCATCCCGCCGCCGCCGTCACCATCCCGTGCCCGACTACACCGAAGAGGACCTCCGTCGCTCCCTAGACCAGCAGGCACAGATACTCACGATGCTGCAGCAGCAGAACCAGCGAGCTGACCAGTTCGAAGCTTGGCACCGGACTCAAATGCAACAACTTCACACCAGCCAAGATACGATCACTGAGAGTCTAGCGAATCTGACCCTGCAGGTCGAAGGACTCCGAGACACGGTCTACCACACCGGAGCCATGAGCTATGAGGATAGAGTAGCCCTTGCTAGAGCCAGAGGACGCCAGCGTGGACGTGACAGACCCCGGGACTAGATTTTCATTTTTTTCCTTTATTGTTTACTATATTTTAGTATTTTGTATTTTTATTTTCAGTTGTATCTCCCTCTCGCATGCTTCAAGAATCAGTGAGGACACTGATCGAGATAGTGTGGGAGCGGAGCCTTATTTCCACTGTATTTTGAACTTCTCTTATTTCCTGTATTTCCATTTCACTGCACTTTTGAATTTTAGTAAGTTCTATTTTACACTTTCTATTTCTAGCAAATAAAGCTCGTCTATATAATTTTCACGTTACGCAAACAATCCCCACATTATTCAACGTAAACAAAAACTTTCATTTGTTCCTCAAAAGCAAAAGCATCACGAGAATGCGCCTGAGTTCAAACCAAGTTTTGAAACTCCGAGGAAACGACAGTTCTAACAAAACCAGTATCGTCCAGACACCTTAGATCTCTAGTTTATGCGAGTCGGTTTCACCACCTACGTGTACCAAAGTCTCAAGTGGCTACGCAAACTCATCCCCAAGTAGTTTATACTAGCAGTCAGCACCATCCTAAAAACACTTCTAAGCGAGCGACCGATGCAAATAAGTGTATGATCTCCAAAAAGATGAAAAATCATGAAAAGAGAGCTAAAAAGCCCAAGAATATAAGATTCGTTTCCTTCTAAGTTAGGTGCTCCTCACCCGAGCATTTAGCCCAACGACACGAAAAACTCATTGAAAAATCAATGACACCAAACTATGATCAATGAAGACCAAAAACAAAAACGAGATCATATTCACTAACAGGTCGACTTGCCATGAAAGTGTGCGGACAACGGGCTTAATGTGATTGCGCTAGAACAAACAGGGTGAACTTGCCACGAGAACCTTGACACCAAGATACGGTAGCATGACTGAGACCGATTTGCATAAAAAGGAGACCTCCGGAGACTCGTAGTCCAGTGTCGTCATGATACTCGTCTTGTTCCTACTAAGAATCCCGGTTTTTCCAAACTCTGCGAACGAAGAAGCAGCCTCGTGCTTGCCGACTTTTCCACGTTTTACTTGAGGACAAGCAAAGATTCAAGCTTAGGGGAGTTTGATAACACGAAATCATATAGATATTTTCATACATAATTCAACTAAAGTCTAACCGTTTTCGATCCGATTTCGGGTTATTTCCATGTATTTGTCTGATGTTTTTGCAGGTATTCAACGATCACGTCTAAACAAGGCAACATGAAGAAAAGAAGCAATCCCAGATGAAATATGGACGAAAAAGGAGTGAAAACACAATGAAAAGCGCAGCAGACAGTTTTTGCTGATGTGACGACTGTCACAGATGCATGACGACCGTCACACGGGTGACGACCGTCACACCTTGTGACGACCGTCATGCAGGCAAAAAACGCCCCACTCAGATTACACGTTAAAAGAGCAGTTCCAATTCCCATCAAATGGTCCACTACTCCCTAAATTATCTGCCTCAAGTCCCATCATCCTCAGAGATAACCGTTGGGATTCCACTTCTATAAAAAGGGAAGCAGGGGACTTCAAAAAGGGAGCTGCATTCATACCACGAAGTGCTGCCAAATTTAGTTTCCAGACCAAATTTATTTTCAGTCATTATTTGTATCCATTTCTCCAGTTTCACTTGTACCCCTTTTCCTTTATTTCCCTTTCCATTCTACTCATTCCCATTTCCGCTCTTCTGTAATTGTTACTGCACTGTACGATCGAATTGGAACTAAAGACAGAATCCTGCCAACATCTGTGGAGGATCTGCCCAAAGGCCAATTGGCATTATTTACAGGTTTTCATTTTGATCGACTCTTATTTTATCATAATGCAATTTATTATTTATTATTATTATTTATGTTTTGCCTTTCCAAATTCCATGTCTAGCTAAACTTAGGTAATCGATATGTAGTAATAATTCGAATGGGATTTGATAACTCTTGTTTGAAAATTTTCTTTTCACAAAAATAACTTATGGTCTAAGTGTTTAAAATTGATTTACGAAATAAACTTCGTCGCGAAAGCGAGAACTTATTTTAAAGTAGTTTTGCCACGAAAGTGGGAAATTAATTAAGATACGAACCAACAAGCGAAAGCTGCGGTAAGGTCAGATAGTAAACACTAGGCATTTGTTTTAATAACAGCGAAAGCACTTTAAAACGAATTAGAACTTAGAGATTTCCAAAAAGTAATTTTAACCCCGAACGGAATACGAAAGTGTACGTTAGGCCCTTAGGATTATGATTAGCGTCAATAACCATTGTGAGACGAGAGTCTTCAAATCTCCATTTTCTGCTTAAATAAACTGTGAAAACTATTTCACACACCAGTAACTTATCAAATCCCTGAAGAACACAATTACTACGTATCGATTAAACTAATTAAAATCTAAATAGTAATTTTAGTTTCCCCTTTTAGTGACAATCTTATTCCCTTAAAACATATTCTACCTAGCTAAACATAGTAACTCCCGAGAACACTAGTTTGATTACGAGTCTCTGTGGGATCGATATCTTTTATTACTACGCGATAGACTGTGCACTTGCCGTTAGTTGTATTAGACATAGAGAGTCGCGATCACCTGTGTAGTTCACGACGATGTCATCTAAACTCTCTCAATTCATTGTTCTTTACCTAATACTACCCGTAAATTTGAACTAAAACTCTCTTGAATTTAGAGCATTTAACTTGCCACCCTATCAATTAAACCTGACATTGCACATATTTTCATAATTCCCAAATTTTCTATGGATAAATTTGAGTTAAAGTGTGAATGAAATTTCTGACAATTCATTCAAAATTTTTGCTAAAACACCAAAATTTTCAATAGTTTATTTTTAAATTACCGGTAAACTACAACACTGAAGTGTTGTTATTTATCGAAAATTTTTTGGTAGTGTAAAAAAAAGTTTCAATTTTTTTTTGAATATTTAATTTTTGAAAATTCTAATATTTCTTCATTTTTTTCCTAAAATAATTGATTTTTTATAGAAAATTTCAAAAATTTTAATAAACGCATTAGAAAATGAAAAAAATAAAAATAAAATAATAAGGGGATAAAGATAATAACAACAATATAAAATTGTCAGGTTTAATTGATGGGATAACAAGGTAATTAATCCTTCTAAATTTGAGTTGGAATTAGGAAAATCCTCAAAACTTAAAAAACACTTACAAAAATAATAACCAAAACCTTTTATTGACACCTCCTCCCCTTCTCACCTCTATCTTCTACAATAATGAAAATAACCACACAAATAATTAATTATAATTTTTGCATTCACAGTTACTATGTAATCAATCAAAGCTAAGAAACTAAACAAATCAATTATAATTAAAAAGAAGAAAAAAATCCCACACGCACTTAGTATTAATGTAGGATTAGATTAAATCAAATTTAAGCATAAGCATTTTGTCAACTTTGTTCTCTTGTTGTCATTTACAATACCCTCTTTAATTAGAAACCACAAATTCTAAAGCCAAATATATTGCAATCTAACCACTTGCATAAAATATTTTAAGTAAGCAAATATGTTATATGGCAAAAGGGATTTGTTATATATTCTAATAAAGTAAAGTGAACTACTATAATATATAATACAGATATAGCATAGCTTTCCTATATATAGTTCCCTCTCAAAGAAAACATAACAACCTCACTATCTAATTAACAATAACTCATCAAATTCCCCAACAAAGAACATGTATGCTTCTACTTCTTTTACTTCACAACATGTCCATGAGCTTCTTGTAGAGTCTCACTCAAGAAGGTTACTCTTCCAAAATCCAATTGATCATCAATCACTTAAAATCAACTCTCATTTCTTTATAAACAACGACAATTCAACGGATACGTCTTTTAGAGCTCGTGAATTTGATTCAAATGTTGTGATGATAATTGCAGTCCTATTATGTGTGTTTATTTGTTTACTTGCATTAAACTCCATCATAAGGTGTGTGTGCGCCTTACAGTTTTCAAACGTAGCCATCAACAGCAATGAGTCTTCTTCGAGTTCGAGTAGCAGTACTTCATCTCAATTGGCTCAAAAAGGAATCAAGAAGAAAGCTCTTAAGAAATTCCTAAAAGTGAGTTATTCAACTGAGTTGAAACTACCAGGTTTGGATACGGAGTGTGTGATATGTCTCTCGGAGTTTACAAATGGTGAAAAGGTGCGCGTTTTGCCTAAATGCAACCATGGATTTCATGTTTGTTGCATTGACAAATGGCTAAGGGAACACTCATCATGTCCCAAGTGTAGACAGTGCCTTCTTGAAACTTGTCGAAAGATCGGTGGATCGCAGGTGCAACCAATTGTGTTGCCTGTGCCAGAAATTATTATACAGATCCAACCACTAGAACCTGAAGCTTTGGAATGTAACTATAGAGAAATATGAGCTAATTCTGATTCCTCAAATGTAACAATACATTACTTGAAGTTACCATGTAATTATTTGAAATTTTGAGCTGAGAATACATGTATATTGTGCTTCTTTTTTTTTTTGGAGGTTGTTTAGACTTGTTGGACTAGTTCTTACTCCTCTAGTTGGAAACCGTTTATGCTAAACGTGAAACTTAAAACCCTGCCGGACACGCTCAGAATCTGGAGTAAATAAGTTGTTGGAGATCTTAATCTTACACTAACAAATAATTCATTTTATGATAAAGATTTCATCTCAATGGCTCTATGTCTGAGGTATAATCTTTACGAGTGCTAAATTTAAAATTAAAAACAAAAATCATCTATTCCTTGAATTTTGAGAAACAACCAATAAAAAAATAATAATAAAGAATAACGCTCTAAATCTCAACTCATGTTGTTTTTACTTTTTTTTTTGTTTTTTTGTTTTTTTTTTTCAATTGATGTTTTTTCTAAATTTTTATTTCTAAATCAATCAAAATAATCTATTTTCTCGGTTACAGGAACCAACCATAGGAAATGCGATCGAGAGACCAAATTTAGAAATAATTGTTTTTAATTTTATCGTTATTTCTTTCAATTCACATCTTTCTTATTTTTTATTTATAATTTATATATTCTCTCGGTTAGAACTTCTAACCAAAAGAAAATATCAACTTTGTATTTAAAACGACACTTTTCTTTCTTTTTTAAAATTTATCTATTCCTTCGATTGAGAGTTTCAACCGAGAGGAAATTTCGGCTTTATATTTCATATGGTGCTATTTTTTAAAAATATATATTTATTCCCTTGGTTGGATGGTCCAACCGAGTAAAAATCTCTTTTGCATGTATATCTCATAACTAGATTATATCTTTCATTTACTTTTCAACACTCATTTTCATCTTCATTCTCTTGTGATACCAAACGGTCTATAAACAAAAATACCCTTGGAAATTTTCATCTTCATATTCTCCATTAAAACATCCTAACTTATTTTTAAAGTTACCTTCCATCATCGTTTTCGAAACATAATCTCTTCAAATACACATATATGTTCGAAACATCATCTATTCCAAAACATACCTCTTGGAGACTTCATTTCCTCCCTTTGAAATCCATTAATGCCATTGAAGCACCAACAAAACTTGAAACGAAGGAAAGACAACCAAACTTGAACGAAGCTTCCTCCACCATTCTCGTATCTTCTTCACTACTACTGAAAACACATATAATGACGGTTTCAAGTATGTTGTTTGGTAGCATGTGATTGTATGTACGTTGGTTTCCACAACGGGCGAGTGACTGTTGTTATAAGTTAGGTAGTACGCTACTCATAACCACGGTAAATAAAACAACTAGTGTGAAATAATTTATAGATCCTAGTTTCAAATCCCATCAACGTCATTCTTGCATTTTATTATTCTAGATAGCGCTCTACTTATAAAAACGGTTGAATTAAAACTGTTGTGATATTATTTGTTATTTTTAATATGTATTTTTCAATTTTACAGTATTCTCAAATTTTTAACCTGAATATTTCTGAATCGTATCAGACCAGAAACAACAATACACTCATTTGTGAATTGAATTAGATAAAAATTGTAACAAATCAATGATACAATTCCATTTTGAATAAAACATTATGTATTACATCAAAACTAAAATGACACAAAACAACCTACAATGTACACATCATTACATCAAATAATACTATCTTGTTGTCTTGGTGTCTTGTCTATTCGTGTCTTGACTATAAACACATATAATTTTAAATAAGAATAGTTGTTAGAAAATAACATCCATAAAAATTATAACATACAATAAATTATGAAGGAAGAATATAAAATACTTATTAACTTTTCCATATGCCTTCTTAATGATCGTTACGAATAGCGTGCACATCATCTATATTAACTTCTTCATATGAAGTAGGCACTTGTTTTGCATAAGAAGAATATGTTTTCGATAAGTCCATATGGCCCGTCACAGAAAAAATTTCTTTTGCTTGAGTAATCATGATAAAAAACATATAAGTTGTCTTGTGTGAAACCCCAAAATTTGCCCTACTTTTTTTCATTTTTTACCTGGCCTACTACTTTAGTCATATGTATATATTTAAGAAGCATTCATATTATTCATCATGCATATGTAGGTTTAATTCATCTCATCTGCATACATTGTATATGTCATCGTTCCGTCTTCATTTGCAACAATTAAATCAAAGTGTCTTTAATGATGATGTTTTGCTTAAATTAGGAAGTACTTTGAATTTGGAAAGTGAAAAGTAAAGAAGTGGTTGACTTTTGGTCAACAAGGTTGACACTGTTAACCACACGTTTGACCAGTATCCTAGGCATTCTTAAACCTATTCATCCTCTCTCTTTAAGTCATTACAGCATGTACAAAAATGTACGATGTGCATGACATATCTATCAAGAACGCATTTCGCATTTTTACATAACCTGTTTTGTAAGCCAGACAATCTAACTTACATTTTTCATCTTTCAATAATTTTCAATTTCTAAGTGATTCACTAAGTCACTTTTCACTTCCGGGGAAAATTCCCTAAGCATTCATCGGATTTCATTTCCATACATACACGTTTGGCTATAATTCTTTTTTTATTCATGGTCTTTCAATTCATGTGCATAAAGTTCAAAAATCTTTAAAAAGTGTGTTTACATTTACACGACTTCACTCTACATCACTTTATGTTATTACAAGCATAATACATAATTTCCATAGACAAGAGAATAAAAATAATTCCAAAATCTTCGACAGTCTTCATTCATACTCCATTCTTGACCATGCTTGTTCATGCTTCATTACCATTTACCATGCAAAGAAAACAAGGGAAAATAAGTTAGAGATTACACTCAGTTACAAAATTCAGCACTTACATAATAAAATTCAGCATCATGAGCATTTACAAATACACATGAAAAGTTGTCTTAAATTCATACCATACATTTCAAAAATTCAACACATGCACATACTTTACATCATATGCAAAACCATTCAAAAACAAGTCAAATTCAATATTAAGTTAGAAAAATTCAGCATGCTATGCATATATCATAAATAGAAATTCCATACTATGCATCATTCCCATTTCACTTCCATACAACAACTAAAACCCATGTGCATTAACAAAAGCACTCATGCAATACATTGTTTCATCCATGAACATCAATTTAAATACATCTATAAGTCATACATTCATACCATGCAAATACCCAAACATGTATTCAAGTGATGCCATGTAAATTCATTCAATTTTGCTCAACATTCATCAAAATTTCAGCATATGCACATACATGTAAAATCACATACATCCATGATTTAACCACCCTAACTACCTTAAATTTCCACAAACTATCTTTTAATTACTTTGGGAAAATTACCCAAAATGCCTAAAACAACCCCAACTAACTTCTAACCAACTTGCAACCTCTAATCATCACCCACATAGTTCTATATAATGATTAATCACTCACTCATTAAAGGGATTCTTCTTCACTTTTTAATTCCACCAATTCTTCACTTTATCTCAAGTTCTTACTCTCCATTCTCCATTATTCAACCTTCCCTCACTAAAGCTCAAATCCATGGTTGCTGAAGCTTCACATTGAAGCTTCAATCAACTTGAGCATAAACCTCCATCACACTTCACATCCTAGTTTTTCATGATTCAAGCATCAAAAGAATCATCAACAACAATAACAAGAAAATAAATTGAAGAAAAGAAAGGGGTTGAAGAAGAGATGAAGAGAGATTGAATCGGAATAAGTAACAAGTGAAATCAAAGAATTGCTTACCAGGTTGAATTTACGCTGCCATTGAAGAACCATTAGAGGGTCTTCGATCGGTAAGCCCCAACTCTATTTATCATTCCATGAATGCTTGCTTACTTGTGCCTTCTATGCTTGCTTGCTTGTTTGAGTTTTCTTTGCATGCTTGTTTATGTATTTTCCTTTTTTTTCATCTCGAGTGGATGATTACCATAAGAATCTAAACCTTTCCATGAATACAAACCATAGAAAATTTAGCACTTTTTCAATATCAAAAGTTGACCTTGTTCATCATCAATTCCAACCTTCATCAAGAATCTACTATGAACCGTAAGAAATCGCCAAAAATTCGTTACTACACCAATACCTCACCAAATCCTATTAAAAAATCATAATCTTTAAAGGAATTGATTCACAATCTAAACCAGTGAGAAAAGAATTGATTCAAAAGGTAAAAAGAAAAGAAATTAGGTTTAAGAATTTTATCGAACACTTGGCATGCGGGTTACGGAACGGTAAACATTAACCAATTCACGAGCTGCAAAACCAATGAGCCAAAATAAAAAAGCTGAACTGTAATCCAAAAACATATAAATCAAAATCTAAACCAATAAATATAGACCAAGTTTAAGTTAATTCCATAGCAAACCAGTTCTGATTCTTTACCGCATCCTGCCCACAAGCCTACAAAGTCCATCGCTTCTTCAAATTTTTAAACTCCCACACTAGAAAAATATGGTCGAGGTTTTAGTAAATTGTTCCCTCATCAAAAGCAAAGGTAGACCATTAAGTGTCTGCACCCATGTAATTCATGATTTTAAGCCACATAGTCTTGTATGGGACTGAACATGTTGCACGGCAGCAAACTTTGGGGTTGAACATGTTGCTACATTGGTGTGACTATTGTGTGTAACACCCCAAAAATTTTCCTTTCGTTTTAACTGTAATTGGCTTATATTTCTTTCATTTGCATCATCATTTTTCATATCATGGCATTGGTGTTTGGGACATGCGATCAAGTTGTTTCTATGGCTCAAGACTTCCCTTTTTTCCAAGATTGTAAGCAACAAGCATCAAAGGCTTCAACATTTATTTTGCTCAGCGATCGGGCACCGGATTATATTTTTCAGCAGGAAATTTTGAGTGCAAGAGACAATTCACAGTTTATTTCAGGCATTATATATGTGCAATATCAAAGAAAAA